GAGGTCTTTTAACTACTCTAGGTCCCAAAGAAACTAGGGCAAAATAGCAGCATCTGTAGTTACCCATGTTCCAACTACATGTTTTCCAGCCCAGACCAGTTCCAATGGAACAAGATGTGATCAAACCATACCAAGTTCTCAAAGTGCAGTGATTGCTCTTTTGAGAAATTATTCTTTATACTGTATTAGAAATAATTGTGTCTGCACTAGATGCCCTCTGGTTCTTGGAGGCTGGCGAGCAAAGGTAGGGCATGAATGAAATTCATCAGGCACTTGTTTAACTTCTCACTTCAATCCATGTCCTTTGAAGTCGGGACAAAGCCAGTAAAGAACTCACACTTCTTAAACTTTAATGAGTGTGATCAATGGTCAACCAATGTTCTATTCATATTTTTGTATGTGGCCAGAAGGGAGGATTAAAATTAAATTTTAATTTTAGATTAAATGGACCACTCATTCAGATGTAACAAACTCGTTTGTATGTGGTCTGCGACATTGTGATTTATAATAAATACATTTTTAGTCTTTGTCCCTGTTTTTGGCATAGAGCTCCTAAAATCCTTGGAATTTCCTAGGTAAGAGTGATACAGGTGTCTTGATATTCACAACAAACCCCTTTCAATCACACCTGAGTTTATGTTAAGGAGGTGACTATTAGAAAGCATGTAAGGATGGGGGGCTGGTATGTGACTGGAAAATTAGAACTTTCAGTTCCACTCCGCTGACCTCCCAGGAGGTGAGAGGGGCTGGAGGTTGAATTGATCACCAACCACCAATGATTTAATCAATCATGCCTATGTAATGAGGCCTCCATAAAAAACCAAAAGGAAGGGGTTTGGAGAGCTTCTTTGTTGGTGAACAAGAATGTTTCCATATGCCACTGTGCTGGGTCCCAAGCTCTATGAAGACAGAAGCTCCTTTGTTTGGGACCTCGCTTATGTATCTCTTCATCTGGCTGTTGAGTCATATCCTTTAATATCCTTTGTAATAAGTCAGTAATCTAGTGAGTAAACTGGTTTCCTGAGTTCTGTGAGCTGCTCTAGCAAATTAATCAAACCCACGATGGGGGTTGTGGAAACATTTGATTTATAGCCAGTCAGTCTGAAGCACAGGTAACAACCTAGACTTGTGATTGGCTTCTGAAGTGGAGGGCAGTCTTGTGGGACTGAGCTCTCAATCTGTGGAATCTGATGCTATCTCCAGGTAAATAGTGTCAGAATTGAGTTGAATTATAGTATACCCTGGTGTCCGAGAAGTGCTTGGTGGTATGGGGACTTCTCCCATCTCACACACACACACACACACACACACACACACACACACACACACACGCACTGAAATTGGAAGATCAGAATTGTGATGGCCAGAGGAGGGGAGAACTAAAATTAAACTTTAAGTTTAGGTTAAAGAATGGACCATTCTTTCTGATGTAACAAACATGCTCTGTGATGCCATTAGATATAAAGTTAGATGTAGATGTCAAAGATATGGATCACATAGATGTAGATGATGATGTAGATGATGGAGATGTTGAAGTAGATGACGTGGTTGATGTAGATGTGGCTGCCAGTACATAGATGTACATGCACAAGTAGATGATGTAAATCTAAATACAGATGTAGGTAGAGTATATGTCAATATAGATGCAGATGTGCATGGTGTAGCTGTAAACATGGATGTAGATGATGTAGATTAGAATTTCTCAATCTTACAGTATTGATATTTGGGGTTGGATAATTCTTTGTTGTCAGGGGCTGTCCCGTGCATTGTCCTAGATGCCAGGGGCACTCTCTCCCCCACCCCCAAGTGTGACAATCAAAAATGTTTCTGGATATTGCTAATGTTCCTTGGATGGAAAGTTGGCCTGGTTGAGAACCACTGATGTAGACGATGTAGATACTGATGTAGATAGAAGTGTAGGCATAAATGATGCAGATGATGAACAGGGAAAAGTAGCTGTGTTAGCAATCCCCAACCTTTTTGGCATCAGAGACCAGTGCTCCTATGAGAATCTCACGCCTGATGATCTGAGGTGGAGCTGAGGCAGTGACACTAGCGCTGGGGAGCGGCTGCAAATACAGATGAAGCTTCGCTTACCTGCCCACCACTCACCTCTTGCTGTGCAGCCTGGTTCCTAACAGGCCACGGAAAAGGTGCCGGTCCAAGACCTGGGGCTTGGGAACCCTTTCTGTAGATAATATGGGTGTAAACATAGATGTAGGTAAAATAAATCTAAATATAAATGTAGATGATAATGTAAGAGTAGATATAAATGCTATAGCTTTAAACATAGATGTAGATGATATAGTTGATATAGATAATATAGATGATATGGATAATGTACATGAATTTATAATCTGGGCAGAAAATGTAGGTGTTAATGATACTGATGATATAGATTAGGTATAGGTGATGTAATAGATATCTAGATAGATCAATATGGAAATAATTTTCCCAACTTGAATTTCTTTGAAGGTATAGACCAAGCCTATATATTCATATCTCCTAGAGCAATTTAGAAGTTTTCATTATGATGTGTTGATTGTTTAATTAGTTCTACCACTTAGGAATCAGTAAAGTTACTTTTCACAATTCAAGTATGTTTTCAATGGAAAAAATAGATTGCCTTCAGGAAATTTGAAACTCCAAATTATAAATAAATGTATATGGGTAGATATTTAATACACTTAATACATATCCCGCACATATTTTCCCAACATTTTATTATAAAAAACTTCAAACATGCAGAAAACATGATAAAAATGTACAAATAAGACCTGTATACCTACCACTTAGATTTTACCATTAACATTTACTGTACTTGCTTATTTCTTGTCTATCCACCTATCCACCGTCTATCTATCCATCACTCAATCTTATTTGTTGATGTATTTCAGAGCAAATCCTACATATATTTTAAATTCATTCCCTGGGTGTCATTGCATTTGCACGGTGAGTTGTGTGTGGCACGGCACGAGCTGTGTGCTGGCATTGGTCTATAACAGGTTAGAAATCAAAAAGTTTCCTTCATCACTGATAGCTTAAGCAGCAATGATTTAGCACACAAAAAGGAAGGAGGAGGATGATAAAAAAGAATGGCAGAAAGCCAATGGCTATTGCAGCTAGATGATGAGAACATAGCACAATTGTCTCTACTTTTGTAAAGTTTGAAAATCTGCATCATTTGGTGTATTAAAAAAGTTTTTTTTAAACTCGGCCTGTAAATGAAGATATTTTAAACATATACATTTTCAATTCATATATTTATATCTAAACATACAGTATTTATATAATATACATGCATTTCAAATAAAATAACATAGAAATGACACACAGGATAACTAGTCTACATAGGGAGCATATGTAATGGTTCAAGTAAACTTTACAGAAGTTTTAGGTAAACAAAGTAATTTGCTGGAGCTTGGTGAGCTTTTATTATATAATAAATTCTGATTATGTAATAAACTCCTTGAGGCCAAGGATCCTGCGAGATACCACTTTGTGTCTCCACAGTACTTAATCCAGGGTACTGCAGAGTAAATGGTGCTTAATAAATACTGGCTGATAGGCTAAACTCAGGAAATGAATTGTGATGAAGAGTAGTTTAATTCTCTATGCAATAATGCCACACAGCTCAATCAATTTGAAAATCAGTTTCCTGAATCCACCCTCATAGAGATTTGCACAGAATGTTTGAGCCTGAGGGGGAACTTGGAGCTTTGCTAATATCCTCATTTTGCAGACGGAAATGAGGCCCGGAGGAGTTATATGAGCCTCACTGAACATCCCAACTGTTAATAGCAGCGTTGTTGCCTCTGACGCCTACAACTGGACTCTTCCTTTTGCCATGATGTTTCGCAGAAGGTACAAACCCACCTCCCACTCCTACCCCTTGCTCCTGGTTTAAAATTATATGGTTTCAGTTGTAGGAAAGAGAAAGAAGTTGTCAAGCTGGATCCACCAGGAGGCTGAATAGGAAATGTGACTGCAGAACAAGTTTGTGTCGTGATCAATATTTACCCAGCGCTGTTCTGTGCCTAGCCTGGGTAAGATAAGCTCTCTGGCCTTTGGGAACTTTCTGTCTGCTGGGGGAAGGAAGATGTACACATGTTAGCAGTTAGAGAATGGTCCTGCTGTGTAGGATTAAAGCCTAAATGAGTAGTTGGGTAGAGCCGTGGGAGCTGTAGGAGGGATAGAATGTTTTGGAGACCATGGAGGTTGACCAAGGTTCAAGGACTGAGGAAAAGGCAAAACACCCAGGTTGAAATAACATGGACCTAAGTTTGTGCTTCACCCTATTGGTATTAAGAAGCTTGGGAGGTTTCTGTGGGGGACGGCATGGGATCCAGCACTGACTGGATTTAGGAAGACCAATATGGTAGCGATGGTATCCGGAAGAGGCTGGCAGCAGGGAGAATCTTGAGGAGGGCCTTCAGGAGATGAAAGCTTGGAGCAGGTGATGGCAGTGAAAGTTTGTCGAGGAGTCTAGCTTTTTTACTATCCTCCCCCAGTCTGGGGAGCAAATTATTCTAAGACCATTTGCTAAAACTCCACCTTTTTTCCCTGCATTTGAAATGCTACCTTCATCATATGCTTAATTTCCACATGCATTCATATCTATTTATGGTCTGAATTCTTTTTTTTTTTGATTTGTCTACTTCTGTTTTATTGTTGCTTTAATTACTGTAGAATTAAAATCATTTCATATTTGATAAGGCTAGACCCTACTCTTAAATTTGCTGGCTATTCATGTATGTTTTGCTTTTTAAAAGAATGTGCACTATGGCTGCGAGGTAAAGAGAGGCAAAGGTAGATGTGTGATAACCTGATGCAAGTTCCTCTGTATTCCAGGGGAGAGAGGGTGGGAAACTACAAGGTAGAACAGATGACCTATCCCATTGTATTCCAAATTTCAGTCCTTTCCCAGTATACCACTTTCATAATTTTTGACATATCTATGTGACCTATCTGCGCTATTAGTAATTTAATGGTTTCACTTATTCAATTCACTTTTAATTTTTAATATTTATATTAGACTTATCCTATGTAATATCTGTAAAAGCACAGATTAGACATAGTACTTATATTTTTCTAACATATTAAACTAAATGGAAAACAATGAGAATAAATATCATTTGTCCATGCAGCACCTAAAATTACTTTGTGTACTACCAGCAATTTGAGAAACAATGGTCTGAGCAAAACCCTTCTTTTCAGTTCTCCAGATGAAAATCTCCACTCAGAAGAGGGCTGCCTTGGCTGGCTGGTCATATTTGTTGCTTGAGCTGGATGATGATTGCACAGGTGGATTCAGTTTGCGAAAATCATCGCAATGTTCACTTATAATCCAACAAAAAGTTTTAAAAGTAAGCCTTAAAGTTTTAAAGGTATCACTGTATCATCTTATTACTGGTAATAAGATCTATTACCTGTGCCCTTACATATGCTAATTACTGGTAATAAGATCTATTACCTGTGCCCTTACGTAGGTCATGCAAAAAAAATAGACTAATGAAGTGAATAATATTTACACAAACTTAAAACACTGGGAGCAGTTTTCTTTGAAGTTTTGATGTTCCTGCAAGCAAACCCATCCTCCCAAGACCTCCAAAAGGGCCACAGGGGATATCACAAGTCAGTCAGAACCTTCATAGGATGATAATTTGTCAGTGAAAAGATCTGTAGGGCAAAATTAGACAATAATGCCAAAGGCTGGAGCCTCAATATCCTTACCTCTTAGTCTTTATTAAAGGTAAACAGAATGCCACCCTGACCCCATAAAGATCAAATTAAGATGCGAGATTGCAGAGAATCAAATATCACGTACTGACCTGTCACAAGCACTTACTCAGATACAAACAAGCACACACCACACTCTTTTCTTTTTACCCTCAGGTGATTCTGGCTTTTTGACTTCTAAATTCTCTGCTTTCAGAGTCTAGCCTCTGGCTTAGTGTCCACAGCACTGATGTTAATAAAGATTACAAAATCACTGATACTAAAATCTCACTGTCAAATAGAAGCTGCTGCTTTCTGGCATGGAGATTCATTTAGCTTGTATCTTTTGTCCTTTAAAAACAGTATAAAATAATCCGGCTTCCTTCTGTTGGTAGCCATGGAGACTAATCTCCAATATGTCGGTGATGGAATAATACTAAGAACTACAGCGTTCTTCAACGACATTTATTAATTTGCTTCACGTTAAAAAAACAATAAAGCTACAGACCTTAAAATTCAACCTATAGATTTTCAATTATAAGTCTATATTTCACAACTATTTGGGGGCCAGTTGAATAGGAGCAGCCCATGGAGAAAGATTGCTTCTCAGATGAAAATCTGGAGGCTTGTTTTCTCAAGTATCTCTCAGAGGCCTATTCATTTACTATTTCCTACCATTTAGGTCTTGTCTCTCCTTCCAGTGGTGCCTCTGCCTTTCAATGTGGAACTGTTTCTTATGTCTGATCTTCCCAGAACTGGAAGCCTTCATATGCAATTCCTGACCTTTAAAAGGCTTCACTCTCCATCCAAGAGTCCCCAAAGACCTGCTTGAGAGGGCACACTCACTCTTAATGTACATATTTAAGCTGATCTATTTGCATAACCCAATTTCCAATTTCTGGAAAGCTTAGGGTGTCTTCTGCCAACTAAATTTCAACTAAAGTTTCTTCATATCTAACTGTACAGTGTTGCCAGCTTCTCTTGCTGTCTGCCCCCCAACAAGTGACATAACCCTTTCTATCAATGTAATTTGGAGAACTGTTGAGGTAGGGATTAGTGTGAGGTTTCCAATGACAGTTTCGGGTTGCTTGGTGCCAGTGATGTCATTCTACCAACCGAGTCACAAATGGGGATTCAGGACACAGCTGCAGAACAGAGCATATGCTAGTGCAAGTTTGCACTGGCAATTTAAAGCCACAAGAAATGTAGTCAATAATATTGTAATAACTATGTATGGTGTCAGATGGGTACTAGTATTATTGGGGTGATTACTTTGTGAGTTATACAGATGTCTAATTGCTATGTTATACACTTGAAACTGGTATAACATCACATGTTAACTATAACTGAAAAATAAATGTTTAAAAATAGATAAAGATATTTTTGGTGAAATCAGGACAGGACAGGTGTGAGGGGCCAACTGTTCAGAGGGTGACAAAAGGTGCGGGCTGCAGGCCGACAGAAGGCAAAAATAATGAGCGAATGAGTTCACTTGAGCAAAGCATTCTCTTTTCTCTTCCATCACAAACCAACAGGGCCACATGGCATCCATCTAGCTTATCGCAACTGAGCTTGTGCATACTTTGGTGGGTGGAGCATGTTTGTTTTTTCCTCACCTTTCACATTTGCTATCTGGTGGAAACAGGAGACTTTCTTTTTTTTTTTTAATTCGTAAATTTTAGTTGTTATTTTAGATGGTCCAAATGTTCCTTCCACATCCAGTCAGAGAGGCAAGGATATGATTAAGATGTGATGCACTTTTTGGCATCATATTTAAATCTTTGTATTATTCTGGGACATACGTTTTTTGATCACATGGCAGTTTTACAACTTGGTATATTTCTTGGTTCAGCATAGAGTTTTGTTCCCTTCGAAAACTCATCTGATGGAAGTCCGTTCTCTTAGGTCGGGTTCTCCTAGAAGTGGATTCTGGGTCAAGGATTCAGGCATGAGGGATTTATTAAGGAAAAGTTCCTAGGGGACACCGGTAAGGAAATGGGATGAGGAGGCCAGGGAAAGGGAGGGAGGGAGCAAGAGTGTGACTTCGTGTGAAGTCCCAGCCTCAGCGAGATCTGGAGAGGAACTTTGGAGCATAAACTCTACCTGAGAGCAAGTCTCTCCTTGAGGTAAGGAAGTTGGGCTTTTGGGCTCCCAAATCAGTCAGCCACTGGCCTCAGGCCAAAGAGAATGGTAGTGGGGTGGGAGGGAGTATGGCCATGGGGACTATAAAATTCCCAGACACCGATGGCTCTCTCTATGGGCTGAACCCTGTCCAGTACTTGGTCACAGATGCAGAGCACTTAGCTGGGGGCTGGGCACACAGAACTGGCAAGAGAGACCTGAGGGGATCTGAGTGGGGCACCAACAGCCTTGGTCACAGGCCTACCCCCATATGGCCTGCTCTCACCACCAGACACCAGTTATTGGTCTTTCATCACGTTCTGCTGCAAGAGGAAATTAATAATATCTTTGGAAAGTCCTGGAGTCGGTGTTTCATTATCCAAAGACACACTTCTTTCTAGTGGGTAGAAGTGGGTGTCCCTGGAATGCCTCTGTAAGACTGAGCATCCATCCCGGTTGAAGATGACCCGGGCCATTTGAAAACTACGAAGGACGTACTTTTGGCTCTCCTGGCCCTTCAGTTCATCGATTTTCTGAGACAAGCACTGGCAGACAGATGCAGAGAGTAGATTTCCAGAGGCTGGTTGTGGATGGCCAAACATTTCATAGAATTTATCCAGGGATTTCCGAAGTTCGTCATCCTCTGTCTTGGTCTCTGGTTGGCCTTTCACAGAAGGGCTAAGCCAGAAATTCTCGGAGTGCCAGGAATCATTTTGTGCAGTATTTAGGTTACTGGTGTCTGCAAGACAAAACACATCCCGATACTCAAACACATATTCAAAAATACCAGAAAGCCAGCCAAGAGCAGACGATGTCTCTTTTCAGTTCAACACTTACGGCTCCTGGGTAATGGGCAATGGACAGAATCAAGTGATTTCAGAATTTGTTACCACCATCCTGGGGTTATGCCACTTATTTGCTCATAGCAAGAACATTTTATTTGCCTGTTTCAGGGGTTCTTAACCTGGGGTCCTTGTATAGAAGTTTCAGGGTGGCTGGGAAAGAAAGTTCGTATCTTTATTTTCACTAATCTCTACCTGAAATTAAGCATTTCCTTCCATGATGAATATAGGCAGTAAACCCATTAGCAGCAGTACCTGTGATTTTTCACCAATAGATCACAGCTGTTTTCATATCTCATTATAATTTGTTGAAGATATTTTGAAATATTATTTATGCCTATCATTATGCTATGGACTGAATTGTGTTCCTCTGAAATTCATATGTTGAAACTCTAATCCCTAATGTGACTTGATTTGGAGATGGGGCTTTTAGGGGGTTAAGGTTAAATAAGGTCATAAGGGTGGGGCCCTAACTGATAGGATTGGTGGCCTTATAAGAAGAGGAAGATCTCTCTCTCTCTCTGCACACACACCAAGGAAAGACCATGTGAGGACACAGAGAGAAGCCAGCTATCTGCAAGCCAGGAAGAGACCTCGCCAGAACCTGACCATGCTGACAGCCTGAACTTCCGGCCTCCAGAACTATGAGAACATAAATATCTGTTATTTAAGCCACCCAGTTTATGCATTTTGTTATGGCAGCCCAAATATACTAAGACACACTACTTTTAAATCACCATAGTTATTAGTCCTGACACTAGACCTTATTATTTAAACATTAACTCAAAAAACACATGTTCATTACAATATCACACATTTGTTCTTGAAGTATTTTAATAGGTACATTTCAATTTTTCCCTTGCTGTTAAAACTTTATTCTGATAAAGAGTTAATGGGCTTCACCAGACGTCAAAGGGATCCATTGCACAAACACAATGAAGACTCCTAATGCAGAGAGTTCAGACATTTTTTTCTACCCCCTACAATAATCCCATAGACTCTTTATCTCTAAATTTAAATCACAACGTTTGTGTTTTTTAAAGGAGGAGTAACAAGTAAACTAAGTGATTTAATAGTAGACAATAAGAAACCAGAATTGGAACTAAATCCTAGTTCTGGATCTAACTTTCTGTACTTTCGGGGCACTGTAATTCTCAATATGGAAATCTCTAAGATCCTTTGAAACAAAGAACTTTCCTATCATGTGTTTTAGAAAAGATTTTACACAAATAACTAATTTATAACTTGCTGAATTCCTTATACAGCCACCAGTTTTATGCTTTAAACGTTTATACTTTAAATCAAAACAGTATATTTTCCTTTTTTCACTCTAATATAAGCTTTAGTAAATTACTAGTTTTAATTCCACATACCCACTCCCCACCTCCACTAACTCAATTAGTAGTTATAATAAAAATACATGCACTTGCTAATGATGAAGAAAGTTGCTTGATGCAGTGGCTGGAGTTTTAGAAAAGGAGCTGAAATTTGGGGTTTTGACTCTAGTTTTGCTACCAGCTAGATGTCACCTTGAACAAGCCATATCACCTTTCTGAGCATCAGCTTTCTCATCCGTAAAACAAGAGTTCTACTAAACAATCTCTCTTCTAGAATTTCTATGGTAATATAGGAAACAGCAAAGTATATAATCTAAAGCATTAGAGCATCCCAAAAGAATTGGACACATACTCTGTGATACACATGCAGACCCACAGAAGGACAAGCATTCATTAATCCAACACACAATTAGCCCAACAAGCCTGGTGATTCGGAAAGCACAAGATGTGCCTGGAACATCTAAAATGCTCCAAGAATGATAGGGGCGTGTCCAGCAGGAAAGAGGGCGGGGCACAGAGGCCAGCTCACAAGGGATCCTAGTGGCCAAATCTGGAAAAACTTGAGCATCAAAATAAATCATGAGAATAACAAACGACCTAGGTGAGCACCACCAGTAATAGGACAACAGCGAATCATGTGCCACCTGACTGGATGCAATGGGAAGACCCAGCATCACTTCTCTGGTAGTCCTGCCAAAGGTGCATCACCTGAGCCCAGCTATGAGGAAGTGTCAGACAAAATCAAATTGAGGGACATTCTACAAAATGACTGGCCTGTAGTCTTCAGAAATGCCAAGGTCATGAAAACAAAGGAAAGACTGAGTAACTGTTCCATACTGAAGAAGACTAAAGAGATATGACAACTCATGGCAACACATGATTTTCAACAGGATCTTTGTGCTACAAAAACTATTTTGGGGACCACCTGAATGGGGGCTGAGGATTAGATGGTTGTAATGGTATAACTGTTAATATCCTGATCTTGATGATTGCATTGGTGTTGTATAAGAGAATATCCTTGTTTGTGGGAAAATCAGGGGTGGTGGGCATCAGGTTGGCAACTTATTCTCAAATAATTAATGGAGAAAAAGTTGCCTGTATTGTACTTGCACGTTTTCTATGAGTTTGAGATTGTTTCAAGAAAAAATTAAACTTTTGGAGGAAGAACTGTTAAAATTTCCTTTGGTGGCCTGCTTTAATATTAAAACAAACAAACAAACAAACAAACCTTAGCCCAGGGGTTGGCAAATATTACCTTTCTAACAAATTGTACTGCTCTTAAAGAGCCAAGAGGGGAAGAGGAGGGGTCCTCCAATGGCAGGATGAGTGTCCCTTTCCACCTTCTTCCCCACAGATGATCTGGAACTAGGGTAATAAGGCAGGAAGACAGGGGCTTAGAAGGGTCAATGAGAAGAGTAAAAGAGAGAAGAGAGATGGTTGGCAGTAACACTGGGAAAGCTGCAGAGTTGTTGAAACTACCCACCCAAGACAGCCATTTATACAGAACTCTCCAGGTAGCATAGCATGTACTTACTACGTAACTAGTCAATAACTTTGATCTGCAGCATTTTTAATTTTCATCTGAATTTCATTTTTATATTTAATTTCAATTTTTGGAATTCAATGTCCTAAATGCAGTGTCCAAAAGAACCTAAAAAAATAGTGTTTCCACTACTTCGCGTGCAAATGTCAAGCAGACTGCAACTGTCTTCAAAGTAACCCTCCTTCCCCTTTCTAGAAGCGCAGTAACAACATGGATTGAGTCATTCGCTCCGTCAGTTCTTTTGAACCTCGCCTCCAGTTCATTTCAGTCTTTGAATTCCTTTTAAAATTTGCTTTTCTACCAACTACAAAGCCATCTCTCTAATCATGTGGCTGGTGTGGCCTTTTGGACATCGCTGTTTCTTCACCAACAAATAAAGCTAATTGCTTCTTTTTTTTTCCCTGATGCACCTACATGTGGGCAGAAAAATGGATTTTTGATGACTCATTCCATTCCCGCTCAGTGGTATATCTTCACAGCTATGTTCAAACACCACCTTATTCTACCTGTTTCTATAGCCCGGACTTGTAGGGCTCAGCTGAGTACAGTAATGTCTACTCTAGAGAGAGACTGGGGACGGTTTTGTGTCAGTGATTGGAAAGTGCTAATTGCATTTAGTGA